GCCTCCGCTCGGTTGAGTTTTTTCTGCAGGCTCACCTTGGCTTGCGCTAGGTTGGCCATGCGCGCGCGGGTCGTCTCCGGCGAGAGGAGGCAAAAAGGCACGCAACTCGACGCATCTGCTCGTTCGATCTTGGACGCGTTGCGCGCGACGACCCGTGTCTTGATATCAACGAGCATGTGCCTGCATCCCTGGCACTGGGGCACGTTCGTCGACATTGCCTTGACGAGCTTCCACTTGGTGCACGTCGCGTGGCGCATTTGGTTGGACCCGGACACAAGATACGTCTCGTCATTGGCGAAGAAGCGGAAGCGCTCGAGCGTATCGACCCCGACGTCGTCCGCACAAACGCCGGGGCATATAAAGAACGACCGAGACCCGACCGAGACAGACCCCATTGGGATTGAGAAGGTATCAGCAATCGTGGCGAGGACGTCTATCGCATCTGATTGGTCGTCTTTGATCAACGGCAGCTCTTGAAGGATCCCGTCGCGCACGGTTGCCGCGAAGCTCGTCGCAGACCCAAAGAGAGACGTGGACGCTGCGGGGCCGTCCACGACATCCGTGAGCTCCGCTGCGGCATCGAACTTCAAGCGCCCCAAGTGACGGGCCCAATTGTGCTGGATCGCGCGGCACTTGACGCACCGAATACCCGCGATCTTGTCGTCCAGCATAATCGGACACTCCTTGTGCCGCCACGCCTTCAATGCGAAACCGTACATCTTGAAGACTATTTCGGGCTTTTCGAGCGGAATTTCTTCCCTCACGCCGACACAGATTCGAGGCGCCTTTGGCGACGAGGTGAGCGTGGACTCGGGCACAAGCGGCGGCGCGGACTCGGCCACAAGCGGCGGCGCGGACTCGGGCTCACGCGGCGGCGCGGACTCGGGCTCACGCGGCGGCGCGGACTCGGGCTCAAGCGGCGGCGCGGACTCGGGCTCACGTGGCGGCGCGGACTCGGCCACAAGCGGCGCCATGGTCTCGAGCTCAAGCTGCTGTTGAGACTGTGCCTTCTTCCGCTTTTTCTCCGCACAGGTAGGGCACAAACCGTCACGGTCACGACTTCCTTTGCCGGTCTTTTTGCATTTCTTTGGACACGTACTGCACTTGTAACGGTCTTTGACAGGCGTCTTGGGATACGTTAAGCTCTCGTCGCGATCTTTGGCCGGTGTCGCCCACATGTCACGGCGTTCACGAAGAATGAGAGGCTCGAATCGCCGATTCAAATATGTTGACTAAATACACGCATCCAGAATTTGTCGTAGCGATGAAAATGGGGGGGTGTGGGAGCTCTGTTGGGAACGAAACTTCGTACACACATCCACGACTATGTGTTTGAAGTGCGTGCAAAGTCTCGTTTTGGGACGGACTCTCGGTCACCCCCATTCTCACGTTTACGAGTCCATTTTGTCCAAAATCATAGTATTTGTTGTCTTTGGCAACGTAAATGGGGGGGTGTGGGAGCTCTGTTGGGAACGAAACTTCGCACACACATCCACGACTATGTGTTAGAAGTGCGTGCAAAGTCTCGTTTTGGGACGGACTCTCGGTCACCCTCATATTTATGTTTGTGTATCCGAGGCCAGGTCAACTTGGCACTATTTGCTGACATACGTAGCATGTAGTAACTCATTTCGCGCGTTTAGAAGCCTTATCGATACGATAAATGCTTGTTCACGCATAAGCTATCTTCGTGCGCCGTGAAAAGCTATGTTCTAAGCGCTGCATGCACGTAGACCCATGCAGCGATCCGCGGCGCCCAGTCCATTTTAATGAAAATGCTCCAAATAATCATTATCCGGATGAGGCATTCGGCGCTGGCGCTTCCTCAGGCATTTGTATTGGACTTCGCTGGGCGCTCTGCCGTAATTTTTTTAATTAAATATGGGTCGTGATACACCCTCTTTTTTATTGACCCATGCCTCGTTCTCCATGCGAGCAAAAGTTTGATTATGACACGGACGCTGCTGATTGGCTATGCCATTTGGCATTTTGGCCAATCCCTGATCGTGACGTTTCGTGGCCACAGCATTGTCTATATTTGAAGCGACAATAGACGGACGCCAACATTGGGCACGATATCTACAGTGTTAAATACGCCTCCACGGTGACCACACTAGACGATCGAGTGGTTCCGGCGGAGGCGCAGCATGTCGCTCTCGGTCAGCATCGGGCTGGCTTGGTGGTGGTACGTGAACGAAAAGCCGTAAAACTCGTCTTCGACGCTCGTACTCGACGTCTCCTACGCACCAGTAGTGAGCGACTTGCATCGTTTGCAGCAGCTACCTCGTTGCCAAGGTTGGGCACCGCGTCCTTGGTGAACTCCTTGTCAAAGTTCTGGAGGTCCGTCGGGCTCTGCAGGCGCGGCTTGAACGGCGGTTTGAGCCGCTTCTCTTCCAGCGCTTTCCAGTCAAGGCCCTGGAAGAACGGGTGGGCCTTGAGTGCCGGGGCTTGCAGTCGCTTGGCGGGGTCCCTACACCATCCATGAGCCTCGGCAGCATCCTCATGAAATACCGTTCGAGGAGGCCGCGGATGAGCGACTTGGCCGACGACGAGATGCCAAAGCGCGCGGGGAAGGCCAGCGGGGCAATCAGAATGTTTTCGCACATCTTTTGCACGTCGCGGTCAAAGAACGGCGGCCAGCCCGTGAGCATCTCGTAGAGGAGCGTGCCCAGGCTCCACCAGTCGATCGCGCTGCCGTACATCGACTTGTGCTTGCGACTCAGGAGCATCTCGGGCGCGAGGTACTCGGGCGTACCGCAAAACGTGCGCGCGCCGGACGTACTCGTGACCTGCTTCTTGGAGAGGCCAAAGTCGGTGAGGCGCAGATGGCCTTCGGCGTCGAGGAGGACGTTCTCGGGCTTGAGGTCGCGGTACACAATGTTCTTCGAATGCAAATAGCCGAGCGCCGAGATAAGCTCGGCTGCGTAGAAGCGCACCATGGACTCGGAGAAGGCGCGGAATTTCTTGAGATGAAAGAAGATCTCGCCGCCGCAGCAGTAGTCCGAGACCATGAAGAGCGTCGAGTCCGTCTGGAACGAGCAGCGCAGGGCGACGATGAACGGGTGCTTGAGCGCGCTCATGACTTCTCGCTCCGTCATCGTGTGGTCCACTTGGTGGCGCTGGATGAGCTCCGTCTTCTTGAGCACCTTCATCGCATACAGCGTGTTGTTGTCGTCGCGCGTACGGACAAGGTACACCTTGCCGAACGACCCTTTCCCGAGCACCTTGAGGATCTCAAAGTCGGCGACCGACCACTTGCGATTCGGGTCGAACGACGTGTCCAAGTACAAGTCGATGGGCGGCGTGACCACATCCAGCGCTGCGTGCTGGGTCGTAAAGGTCGAGCCGGCCTCGGACGTGGGCGTGCGTCCAGCCGGGTCTGCAAGCCGATCCAAATATGAGTCCTATTGCAAGATAGAGCAATGGTCGCACCGTTCATGGAATTCTCGTCCGCGTTGGGCGCAAGGAACGGCGTGAGCTCGTGCGGGCGCGGGCGCATGGCCAAGAGGCTCTGGACATAGCTACACGACAGCATGAGCATTCGGCGACCGCCGCAAAGAGCGCGTACCTTTCGAGGCCAAGCCGTCGCTGCTCAATGACACGCAGCGAGAGCGACGAGAAGAAGCGCTTGGGCGGGAACGGCAGGTTGCGCACGGACGCGTAGCGCTTGCAGAGCCCGAGGTGGAGGTCGCGGAATTGGCTGTAGCGCTTGGCGAGCGACCACGACGCGCTGCGGCCCTGCACGGTGATCTGGAAGCTCGTGAAGCGCTGGCCGCCACCGCGGGCGGTCTGGTTCTCGAGCTGCGAGTTCCACGTCGGGATCCGCGCCGTCACGACGTCGAGGACGGACCAGGCCATGATGGCAAATGCTGCAATGCACCCCATTTTATTTCGCTGCGGCGCCTCTATCACTTTGTATGTAATTTAATCTGCCCCGTCGAAACTGCGTTTTATCGCGTTAAAGCTCCGCCGTAACGTTCCGCAGAACAAGGTAAACGCGGCTTGCCGGCGAGTCGAGACCACCACCGCCACGATGGACGGTGAACGCGCGACGGCTGCGAGCGCCGTCCGCAGGCGGTGCCAAGGCCAGTGAGTGGCGACCCTTGCACCTCGCATGTTACTGCCTTGGCGACCGAGTGTAATGCTCGGCTCGTTTCGCGGGTCTGGGAGCAGCTCTGGCGACAGGCCACATAGTGGGTCCGCTGAAGCCTGCATTTGAACGATCGTATTGAGGTCGAGTCCACGGATGACTGGCGTCGGCGGTGACAGCGGCGCCAAGAGCCAGGAGCCAGCGCGTACTAGTAGCCTGCGTCGACTGGCGTAGCTGACCACCACGTCATCGGTCGCGCGCCTCTCGGTGCTCTTCTCTTCGCCTCTTCGTCATCATCGTCCCAGCATTTTGCTCACTGTCGCGTCAAACGGTGCTGACGTGTGGTGCTGCCAGCTCAAGTTGCGTGATCCTCGTACGAGTTGCTTATGCCACTTCATAAACACGCAACTGTATTTCCAACCCCATGTGTTGCAGCCGGTCGCACGCGGCCTGGTGCCGGTACGTGAAGGCCATGCATGGCGACGCTTCTGTGCTGCAGTGTGTACGCGTCGCACACAGTAGAGCCGCTCTTGGCGTGATTCCATCGCTGGTGCTGTGCTACCGGCTAAACGCACGCCCATTTACAGCGCCGATCGGTCTCGCAACCGCTCGAATCCACGGCAGCTACTGCGTGATACATTTTATATTGGACTCGAGCAATGACCTCTGCATGCATGTGCTCGCAGCATGTGCTCGCAGGGCCGACGCCGGCGTCGTTCGACCGCGGCGAAAAGTTGGGTGCGATCAGCCAATATTCGTTTGGACGAACCACAGCGAAGAATATATTTCGTACCAAGGCAAGTGGCATGGACCGATCCAAGACGCTGGCGCTGTACCGCGGGATCCTGCGGCTCCACCGACAGAAGCTCGAGCCCGTCATGCGCGTCCTTGGCGACCGCTACGTGCGCGACGAGTTCAAGCTGCACAAGACGGCCAAGCCCGAGTTTGTCAAGGGTTTCCTCGCCGAGTGGGAGTCCTACCACGCGATGCTCTCCAAGCAAGAGACGCTCTTTGGCCAGGACCTCAGCGCCGAGCACCGCAAGCTTCTCGACGACCAGCAAAAGCAAAAGCTCGACGAGCTTCGCGTCGCGGCCACCAAGGCCCACGATCCGTAGTCGCCATCCACACGACTCAGTATATTCCACCTTCTTGAAGCTCATCTTAGGCAGTAATCAACTGCTGCGCTGGCTGGTGAAACCAATCGTTGATCGCAGCCAGTAGCGCCGGCAGGTGCGTTGTGAGGATAGCTTCGGCCTGCGCCTGGAGCTGCTGTACACGGGGCGCCCACTGCGACGCATCGCACGCGTGGAGTTCGGCGACTTGGGCAAGGACAGCTACAAAGCGCTCAACTCTGAGCCATGATGGCGCAATGTACCTTGGTGCTGCGTGGCCATAGCGGTCGCAGTTGCCTTCTGGGCCTCGAGCGCTGTCAGACTACGACGTGTGCATGAGAGGCACCGCTAAGCAGCCATGTCTACATGTGCTGCAGGTGGGCGTAGAGGCGTAGCTGGGTCTCGCCATCGAAAGCGCGGAGAAGCTGGTGGACATTGCCGTAGTCGGGCACGTCGAGGCTCTGCGCAAGGCGGTAGAGTGCGTCGTGCGGGTCACTGATCTTGGCCACAAACGGCGTAGGGTGCGACGGGAAGACTGCCGCCGAGCGCTCTTCATGGCCGAGCGCATGTAGCTGCTGCTCGAGTGGCGCGACTTGGCCCTACACGCGGCCAAAATGAAAGATTGAAAGATTGAAAGATTGATAGAGCGTAGTACGAAGTACGGCGATAGAATGTTGGCGTGCACTGCGACCAAGAGCTGGTTGTGCTGGTCCAAAATATGCAGCACGAGGGCTCGGTTGCGCTGAAACGCAGTCGAGATCGCACGCGTCGTCGCCTCGAAGCGGCTTGTGAACGCCGTGATCTCGTGCACTTGGTTCTGGATGTGGGTGTTGAGCGTTTGCTTCGCGGATATCGCCGCCTCGACCTCTTGCTCGTACTGCACTACGACAGCGTAGACGGCTGTGGCGACGACGTGGGCCTCGTCCGCTTCCAGATACGCGCGCAGCGAAGGCTAGAGGTGCGTGCTGGATTCGCTGCGTTTGAAATGTTGGTACCGAGAGGGGGGTTGGGAATCGAGGTAGCGCGGACGGCGGGTACTGCTTTTCCGTCTATATAACGACGCGTCGTTTGTTGCGAGAGCGTAGGAAGCGACGTACTGCTTGGCGTAGCTTCATGGTTTGCACAAACTGAGCAATGTGGTGTTGCTGTCGCTCCTGGAGAAGGGCGCGCACGGACGTGAGCGTATCGATCTTTCTGGTCGGCTCGGGTCGTTGGGCATCGACAGATGCTGTGGGAAGCGTTGCTGGCGGCTGCTGCTGGAGCGCGTGGACGATGTCGAGTCCGCTGCAGACCCGAAAGACCTTCTATGAGCTCGTTGCCTTGAGTCATCTCCAGTGGGGCGAGCTAGGATACCTCGACGAGGTTGGTCACAGGCGGATCGATCTGGTCGCGCTGCGTGGCACAGTCGTGCTGCAGCGTATCCAAGGCAGTATCGACCATCTCTCGGGTCGCCTTTTGCATCGGCGAGAACCGCGGCAACAAGCGCTGCTTCATGTCGGCCACCGTGGCCACGTGCGCGGCTTGGTTGCACTGCAACGCATGGGCTTGTCCGTGCAGGAGCACTTGGCTGCGCTGGCGCTGGCGTACCGTCTCTGCAAACACATGCGTGTCGTGCTCCATGGTTGAGAGAGCGGCGAGCTCCTTCTGGTTCTCGGAACGCATGTTGGCCAGCGTACGCTCCAGGAAAGCTTTCTTCTCCTTCAAGGCAACGCACGCGTCGCGCTTCCGCTGGCGCTCGGCCCTACAACCGCAGCAAGCATGTCAGCATCTACGAGCAAGGCAGGCTTGGTCGCACACAGCACTCGTGGCTTCGTGGCGGGCAACGCGGACGTTGCGCCGGTACAACTCCATGGTCGCGGGCGCGTGGACGTTGAGCGCTACCCAGTGCCACACAGGCTCGAGCGAGCCGCGCATGAGCGAGTCCACATCCTTGGGCTCGAGCGGCCCTGCGCCAGCGAAGCGCCCTTGCGGCACGTACCCAAGGCGGTCGACGGCCTCGAGAAAGGACCGGTTCCGCTCCTGCCGGGCGGACATGGCCGGGATTTTGAATTATGCGGATGATCCGGTTAACCACAACAAGGCCAACAAAAGCGTTGAAGCGCCGCTTCTCGAGCTCAAGGCGATCGCATATTAGCATGAACCCGAGCGGATGATCTTGTGCAGGTAGAGTAATCGTCCGCTTCTATATGTCACTTGGTATATGTCATACGCAAAGTCTGGCATTCTGTAACTAGTTAAAATATAGGTCGGAGAAGTGGGGTTAGGCATGCAGGCCATGCAGCTGTGCTTGCTACTCGGCCTGGAGCCACTTGGAGAGCAGCTCCATGGCGGTCCATAGATTCGGGCACACGGAGCGGATGAAGCCTTCGCGGTCGTTGACGCCATACTCGCCCTAGCCGTAACATGGTCATTTCGTCGTCGAAGTCTGTGTCGATAGCAGAAGCAAAGACGACAATGTACCTCGCTGCCAATGACATACATGGCAATCTCGCCCTTGAAGTCCACAAACGCAATTCGGGCGTAGAGCTCGTGGGCCGCGCGGCCAAAGTACGAACCGGGCAGAATGGCCACCCCTACCCCCCAGCGCACATGTCGCATCAGCCTGGACAGCATGTTCGTACCGGTATCGGCCAAGAGGCGTTCGCACATTTCGACGTCCGTGACGATGTTGCGTGCGGCGAGCTTCTGTCGGTAGTTGCGGAAGCACGGGAAGACGTGGAAGCCGCCTTGGGGCGGGTGCACGAGGATGTTCATCTTGAGGAGCTGGTACGTGCACCACTCAGCCACGAGCTGCAACGTGCGGCGGCACTTTTGCTTGTACGCGCTGAGCTCGGGACAGTTGGGCACAAAGGCGCGCCGCGCCGCGTACTGGATCGGTGACGCGACCGACGTGTACGTCTCGGAGGCCATGACGAGCATGCTCTGGCGCAACCAGTTGAGGCTAGCGCTAAAGAGCCAAAAGCCCACACGCCACCCGCCAGCGCCGCACCATTTACTCAAGCCGCCCGACACGATCGTGCCTTCCGGGTAGTACCTGTTCCATTTCTCAAGTTGCAATATTGCATCAGAAGCGACGTACTTGGAGATGGAAATGTGTGGCTCGTACGTCAGGTCCGAGTAGATTTCGTCCGAGACGACCAGCATCCGGTACTTCTTGGCGAGCACCGCAATGGCTTGCAGCTACCAACACGTCAGACAAGTCGCGGGACGCGACGTACGTCCGAGTCCGAGTACGAGCAGCCGGTTGGGTTGGATGGCGAGTTGAGGATGAGAATGCGGGGTGCGTCTATCCGGCGTCAGATACCGCACAGGGAACGGGACTGCGTACAAGGGTCCATGGCACACTGCGCTTCCAATACGGACGGTCGGAGCACCCAGCGGTCTTCGGCGTAAGTCGGCAGCCAAATCATGTTGCTACAAAATTTCATAAGGCGATAAGATCGTAGATGTTTGTACCGGCCAGCAATGTTGGCTTGGGGAGCGTAGCTCGTGCAGCTAGGGCTCGGCAGGAGGAGATCGCCATAGTAGACCGTCTGGAGCACAAACAGGAGCTCCTTTGTTCCTGGTCCGACGAGGACATCGTCCTTGGAGTAGGGCAGCTTGAGCGTCTCGGTGGCCCACGTGGCAATGTCCTGTCGCAGCTCGGCGAGCCCGGCCACGGGCAGGTAGTCGCGCTGGTGTGCGTTGGCCCTAATCTCGCCGATGAACTATGACGACAAGAGCGCTTGTTGCACCTACTTGAGCTCGTCAACGATGCAGTCGGGCACGGGAAACGGCGACTGCCCGAGGCCAAGCTTGAAGACGGGTCGGCCAGCACGGACCATTTCGTTGCTGAGCTCGTCAATGGCGCTCGAGGCCGCGGTTTGCATCGTGCGCACCTTGCAATTGATGACCTTGTACGGGCCCTTGACGACTTCGGGGACGGTGGGCAAGGCCATCGCGGGCGGCGGCGCTGGCTCCTCGCTCTCTGTCTTGGGCGATGCGTCCTTGCTCGTCATCGCATGCACGCGGCGCTGCAGTGTGCTGCGCACGACCGCATACTTCTTGGTCGCGTGGCGGATCGACATGTGGCCGTACACCACCGCGTGCACTGCATCCAGCATGTTCTGGTCGTCGGCCTTGGCGGCCTTGGCCGCTGCGTCCACCGTCATGCTCGACGACGTTCGGATGATCTTTGGGCCCGGCCCACTCGAAGTATTGTGCCCGCGTCAGGCGCGCCAGCGGGCGAAGTTCCTGCCTTCGAACTTCGATGCGTAGGCTCGACAGGCCAAGTGGAGTTCGCGGGACGCCGGCGCCGCGACGTTGCCGCATGCAGACAATGTCTCGATCCTTCGATCGTGTTCGCTTGGTCGAGCATGTAGTCACTACTGTCTCTAGTCGATTATGTAGTAGTATTATCGCATTGGTGCATCGTCTCCAACCAGGCTCAACGTTCAAAGGACGCGCCACCATGCCCCTGCCATCCCATCTTCTCTGCAGTCCATGATGACCTACGTCGCAGCTGTATGCATGTACAGTACAACGATCGTTGCAACGGGACAGCGCCAGTGACGTTATATAGATAGGGCTAGGCTACGGCGTGGCTTGGCCCCACGACGCATAGTCGGCGCGCTCGCTGGCCTTGTACTCGTCAATCATGTTGGTGACCACCTCGCGCGCGTTGTCAAACTCCTCGAGGCCCTCGGCGAACATGGGCTGCTTGCGGTACTGGTCAATGAACGCGTTGTGCTTCCGGAGGCGGTCGTAGTGCACGACGGACCGGTGGAAGAGGTTGCCAATGCTCGTGTGGTTGGCGAGCATGAGGCCGTTCACTTTGTGCGCCGACTCGACGTACGGCGACTTGCGCGAGAGCGCAACTTGGATGCTGGCCGGTCCCCACGGGATAAACTTGGCGAGCTTGCGCTCACGGATGCGCTGGAGCGACTTGTGTACCTGCGTCGGGTCGACGTCGCCTTGGATGATGTTCAAGATGGAAATGTAGCATCCGTTCTTGGTGGACGTCGAGACCATGATGTTTTTTGGCTAGTGCATGCCAGAGATGAGAGAATGCGAGTCGGATCCAAGAGACCTGGAGAAGGCGTCGCATGACATCGAGCACCGTCGTCTTGCGCACGGCGCTGACCTATATGCACAGTTGGTATGCCTCGACGGAAGACGACGAGAGGGTGTACTTGGGCGTCAATGGTCAGCGGCGTGTACCCCGTCATGAGAAAGTGGCAGCGGGGCGTCGGGATGAGCGACGCAACGAGACCGATAAGATCGTTGTTCATGTACCCCGGGTAGCGCAGCGTCGTGGTCGACGCGGCCATGACGGTCGAGACGAGCGAGTTGAGCTACGGATACACAGCATGAGCAGTCGGCAACCACTTCTTCGGAAGATCGTACCTGGGACACGGTGGGGTTGTCGATACGCAGACGGTCCACCGCGATGCGGTTGAGCGCTGTGTTGTCGAGGACGACGACGCAGTCTGCGTTCAGGACGAGACGCTTCAACGTCAAGAGCGAGTTGTACGGCTGCACGACGACGTCACTCTGAAAGTCGTCCTAGCACACCACACGCACGTTAGCATTCCTCGCCATCATCATCAGCATCTTCATGCGGATCGTCGTCCTACTTGGTTGGGAAAGACCGAGTATGTCTGGATGAGCTTCTTTGGGAAATGGTCGTTGAGGTTCTCGAGCAAGTACGAGCCCATGCCCGAGCCCGTGCCACCCGCAATCGAGTGGCAGAGCACAAAGCCCTCGAGGCTATCCGAGCCATCGGCCTCGCGGTCAATCATCTCCATGAGCAAGTCGTGGTGGGCCTCGCCTTGGTGGTAGCCCGACGCCCAGTTGTTACCGGCGCCGCCGCCGTCCTTGGCGATGAACTGGTTCTCGGGGTTGTACAGATTGCGGTAGCTCGAGTTCATGATCGAGTTGATCACGCGCGGCTCGAGGTCCAGCAAGAGCGCCCGCGGGATGTAGTGCTCGTCGTCGGCCTGGTAGAAGAAGACGTCCTTACGGTCATTGCCGGCCGTCGCGTAGTCCTGGACGATGCCATCTTGGCTGATGCCATGCTCCACGCAGAGCTGCTTCCAGAACTCGGACCCGATCTGGTTGCCGCACTGGCCGACCTGGAGCGTGATGATCTCCCGGGGCATCTTTTCCACAAATGCAAGCCATCCGGATACGCATCGGATCTCTGTCTAAAAACACGCTCCTCGCGCAAGGTATCATTTTACAGAGGTTGACAACCTCGCACAACGTATGGTTGGCGCCAAAACCAAAAACGATCGGACAGGGCAGAAACAGAGCAACAGCTTGGCCGAGTGATCCATGGCAACGATGTACGATCGAGATGTATCACTTTTTTTTAAAGTCCTATTAGTCGTAATCGACTAGGTCGAGACCTCGAGTCTCGGGTCGGTCACACAGCAGGTGGCGCCGTCGCACGAGGTCTCGTCGATGATTTCGACGGGGAACATTTCAAAGTAGGGCGGCTTGGCTCCTCGGTTGTCGTTGAGGAATTGGAACGAGGCGGTGCACGATAGCCCGTGGCACGCTTCATCACGAAGCCCAAGGGGCGTGTCGACACCGCACGGCGCCTTGCTGCAGTACCAAATCGGACTGTAGTCGCCCTTGGTGACACTCTGGCAGACGTGCTCGCCGTCATCGCAGCCGGGAAAGACGATCGACGGAGCGATCTACGCCAGCATGAGACCAATGCCATGTTGACGCCGGCGTAGTCGACAGGAATGTTGGGCGAACAAAGACTGTTGCGACTGCCAATGTACACGAGGCCGCAATCGCTAAAGCGGTGGGGACTCACCGCCGCCTGTCATCTGGTATAGTACAACACACACGTGCCTTCGTACCGCGGCGGCCGCGCACACTTTGAGCGTCTGCGGCGCTGAAAAGAACGACGCGTTGCGCGGCGGCGAGAGGTACAGACTAACGGCGGGGTCGCACGCCGCGCAATGGATCGCCTTGAGCGTGACCAGCGCTTCGTTGGGCGCCGCTGCGCAGATCGAACCTAACGCGAGCCTCGCATCCCAAGGCGGCAAAGGGCCACGTACCGGCAGACAGAATCCCGTAAAACGTGGTCTTGATGTACTCGTCGTGGATTGGAATGCAGCAGCGACCGTTCTTGAACCCCGCGCAGAACGACATGATGCCCGAGAGAGGTGTCTAGCATGCAAGTCGACCGCGGGCTCACGTCGCGACGAGACGCACCATCGACACGGGCGCGCCATGAGTGACGGTGCAGCGATAGTACGAGTAATCGGTTGGCGGCGCACCCTTGTCAAGCCCTGCCTCCGCGCAAGAAGCGACCCACGCAAGGCCGAGCCAGCGCGCCAGAAACCATCCGCGCGGCATCGAGAAAGGACGGCTCTTACGAGTTCGAAACCGCCGCGACTCTTGCACAATTTTCAAGCGCGGTAAAAGACGAAGCTACGTCGACGAGGACGCTAACGTGTTGCGTTAGGCGCCGCCAGCGTTTAATGCAGTGCACCGTGGGTGGTATCAGCCTTCGTCGTCATTGGAATATTGGAATTGCGACGAATTGAGGCGCACAATGCATGTACAGGTGAGCAATAGGTGCGCTTCCGAAGGTCCGTTCCGTACATCAAACTAGCACCCATCGACGATGGGTGGGCGTGTGATGGCCCCTTGCACGCATCTACTGGTCGACGCACCAAGAAGAACCAATGGCCCACGGGTGTTTTGCGTCAGTGTCGCACCAACATCTCCCTCGCCTGCGCGTCGAGTGACCGCCGATTTCGATCAGCGTCCTACCTCGCGCCCGTCCCGCCCATCGAATCTGTCTCGGCCCACAGCCCAAGTATGCTATACTCGGACGCCTCTTAGCTCAATCCTCGCACCAAGGTCTGCGTAGCCTGCGCCACCGCATCGCGCGCCATCGCCCTTGTCTATCGTGGCGCCACGTCAGCGTCGCGTGACGCTTAAAATCCGGATACAAACAGCCGACGGGTGCGGCCCAACGAAAACGCGTTGCCGCGTCTTCTTTGCCAGTGGGCACGCATCCTTACAAAAACCAAGTGTATTCAAGGACGAATTAAATCTTTGGCATAAAACCATGCGAAACAAAAGGCGGCTCAAGTGACTTTGCCGGCCACTTAGATCGTTTTATCCGGACGCTCAGTTTGCATTTCGATTCCGATGGCAACGAAGCGGCCGGCCGATGAGACCGAGAAGCCGCCCGCCCAGAAATGGCGCAAGGTCATGATCGGCGACGTCGAGATCAAGCTCTTGGAAGAGAAGCCGGTCCACGAGGGCGCGATCCAGCACCTCCCGCTGCCGTCCTCGGACGTCAACGTCTACGTGCAGCCGCCGCCCTGTCTCGTCTTTTACTCGTTTGAGGAAATGACGTCGTCGCTCGCCACGTATTTCGAGTCGACGCACCAAGAGTTCTCGACGCGCAACTCGGTCTCGATCGAGCGCATCAACGGCACGCGCAAGCTCAAGGAGAAGTTCCCAGAGAACGACCCGCGCTTCGTCTACTCGTCGATTACGTACTTTTGCAAGCACGGCCGCGCGCAGAAGCGCCGCAACAACCCAGCGCTGGAGGAGACGGGTAAAGGTCGCAAGGTCAAGTTCAACTACTCGGGCTGCCAAGCGTCGCTCTGGGTGAGCCTTGTCCAAATGCTCGTGCGCGGCCGGCCACAATGGGTGTACTACGCCCACAAGATGGTCAACTGCCACAACCACACGCTCGAGCAAGAGTCGCTCCAGGACATTGCCTCGGTCAAGCCGTTTTACCGCCACTTGCGCGCGGTCATTGAAGCCAAAGAAGACGGCGCGACGACGCAGGAGATTGCAAAGCTCCTCGAGCTAAAAGAGCCCGGTACGACGCTGCTTCTAGTGAAGCGTTGGCTAAGGGAATGCACCTCTAGGCAAGAAGGTGACGGCCCAAGTCGTACGGAATCTCATGCGCAGCACCATGTACGCCAAGGAGAAGGAGCGCAGCGGCCGCACCGTACCGTCCATGGGGCAAGTCCAGGCGTGGAACCCGCTCGCGCAGGTATGTTGCTTCTTATTTTCTTATTTTCGTAGTTTCTTATCCTACGACCTTAGCGCAAAGTGCCGGTCGTACTCTCGCTGCCATTTCACCGCCTCTTTTACACCATGGTCAAGTACAGCACGGAGCTGCGCCTCGACCCGTCGCGCGTCTTCTTCTTGAACCAGTCGTCGATCTCGTCCGTGCTCTGCCGACAATGGAAGAACGTGGCGACCGACACGTCGACGCAGGTCCAGACGACTCTGCACACGACGATCCTCACGGTGGTTGACGCGGCGGGCACGGGCCTCCCGCCGTTCTGCATCCTCCCACGCACCGAGACGGAGCGACCGGTCATGGCACAGCGGTCGGTCTCGACCGTCAACGGCGCGATGACCCCGAGCGCCCTCGAGCTCTGGATGATGTACTTTGACAGCGCGATCCATTGGAATGTTCAGCGGCCCGTCGTGCTCATCGTCGATCAGGTCGCGCGGTCGCATGCGCTCACCCAGATCTGCTTCCGCCTCGGCATCATCCTCGTCGCCTGGAAAGAGCTCTACCTTGAGAACGAAAGTGACGTCATCTTGCCCGTGCGGCTCTCGGTGTTTCGACCGTTTGAAGTCGCACTCGCCGCGCACCTCTCGGAGGTGCTCCCGAACCTCTCGACGTCGCGCGTCATGTCGAGTGACATCTTGGACATTGCCACCGACGTGTACAAACAGAGCCTCGCGAATGTCGGTACGGACGTGGCCGTCGCTGCCATCAAGACCACGGGGCTGTACCCACCGTCGCTGCCGCTCTTGAGTGCGCCGCAGACGGCGCCGGCGACCAACAAGTCGGTGCTGTACGTCGAAGAGAAGCGCACCGCGTCGATCACGATTCAGTCAGGCTCGACCCGGCCGCGCGCATAACACATTTTGTAGCGTTAGGAATTAGAAATAAAAAACACAAAAGTTGGATAACTGCGCAACTCGGTACATTGATACAAACGCCATTGAACTCAGCGCTTCTTGGTCGTCGAGGGTGCGATCGCGTCGACGTACTTGGACCACACGTAATTGGACGCTTCGTCCTTCCCGAGAAGGCTTTGTGCCTACGCAAGAGTGTCATTATCAGACGCAGTTCTTATAGGTGATGGTGGTGTACGTGGCGCTTGGCGTCGATCTTCCGGGCGTCGTCGAGCCGCAAGAGCTCGTGCTGCAGCTTTTGCATCTCGCGCTGGAAAAGGATGCTCTTGTCGCGCTCGCGGTCGATCGCATCGTTGGCCAGTGCGACGCGCTGTTCGAGCGCCTCTCGCTCCGACGTCCACTGACTTAGGCGCAGTGCCTCGGTGCGCGCCAGTGCCTCGACCTGCGCTTGGTACTGCTGCACGCGGTCCCGTAGCGTCTCGGCGTCTACAACAGAGCGTCTGATATAGCTATAGAGACGCAGATACCTTGGGTCGCATCAAAGAGAGTCATTTTGAGCTGCGATATCCGCGCGTCGCGCCGCCCGAGACGATCGCCCATGTCTTTCTGAAGGCGCGCCAGCATCGTTTTGGTTTCTTGCAGCTGGTCGTACGCGACCGCCTTCTCGTGCCGCGACGCTGCTTCCATCTGCGCTCGTAATTTTTCGCATCGAGGGTCATGACAAGATGTGTACATCAGCGAAAGTGTCGCGTGCTTGCTCGTGGACTGTGATCTGCGCCAGCGCGACTTGGAGCTTGGACGATACGTCGCGCACGTGACGCTCCAAGCGCTTTGTGAGTTTGGCGTCTTGCTCCTTGCGCGCCGAGAGCACTGCGTTGGCCTTTGCGAGCGTGTCGTTTTCTTCGCGGAGTTTCGTCACCTCGAGGTGAAGCCGGCCGATCTAGGATGCTCGCATGTAACCATCTACGTAGATTGCCATGCGTACCTCAGTCTCCTTGGCAAGGACGACGCGCGTGTGCTCGGCCAAACGGCTTTCTAAATCCTAGCGCAGCGTGCAATCTACAGATCGGCAGCGATCGCACCTCGATCGTGTCCATGGCGGTCGTCAACGCGCGCGTTTTGCGCTCGATTTCAGCTGTTGTGGACTCGAGGTTGGCCGCGAGCTCGCCCATCGTGCGCGCCTCGAGCGACGTCACCCGGCCTCGCTGCGTGAGCTACACAACCGTTGTACCACAGGCGAAGAAGTGTCGTTACCTCGTGGCGCAGGCGACGAATCTCGGCAGTAAGCTGCTGCACAAGGTCGTCGTCGTCCTCTTCATTGTGGCGCGAGGTCCGAGCGCGGGAGCGGCTAACGCCGTCCATCTCACTTCTCATGAGCGTCGGTCGACGCTCCTTGAGGCTCGAGACGGCTTCGTGTAGCGCACGCTCATACGCCAGGTTCTCTCTCTACGTATACACAGCACCGCGTCACGCTACCTGAACTTAAGCTGCTTGAGCGCACGAACCTGAAGCGCGGAGAGGTCGTCGAGCGAGAGCGACGCCATGCCACTCGAAGATCGCGTCCGGATGCGAGCGAAACGGCCCCATGACGTGGCGCGCGGTGCGTGGAGGAATGCCACAACTTGTCCACAAAGAGCAATGTCCACAAGAGCGTCAGCGCTTGTGTCCACCACGGGATGTCCACCACGGGATGGATCTCTCCGTACGCAGCTCACTCCCAACGACCAAGTGCTGGTGCCAACTCCCACGCATGCAGGCGTAGCGCTACGTATGTGGAGTCTTTGTGTTATAATGAAGACAACGCGGAACACGTTCATATATACACAAGAGCGTCCGCGTCGTAGTATGACATTCTAACGTTACAGTCCAGCAGCATCACACTACTAGCAGACTGCATTTGGGATTGACAGAGAGCTCAGCACAGACTTATACACAAATCGATTGACATCTATATATATAGTATGATGGCTAGCTACAATAACTGCTTACACGTGAACCACGGACATCGGCTCGTCCATGTCAAGCCACAAACAGGCGGGCATGTAGTTCAGCGGCGAGTCGATGTCGTCCACCATGGTCTCGGGCGACGAGGCGTCGTCTTCGGCCTCCGCCACGGCCGTCGCCGGCAAGCGCTGGGTAATCTGGTACATCAGATGCATGTCCGACACCGCAGAGGTCGAGGGGTCGAGCGTCGGCGCAATGGGAGCCGCGTGCCACTCCGACTCGATGTCTTCCGTCTCGGCGGTTGGCGCCTCGCACGGCGTGAACAGCATCGTCAACAAGTCGCCGCCACTGAGGTCGATACTCAAAAAGCTGAGGTCAAGAAGATCGTCGTCGTCCAGCGGCGGCAGCTCGGTCGCCGTCTCCAGTTCCTCCTCGGTGGGGCAGCAGCGGGGCGTCGAGTTGCGCGCGGTCGTCAGGCCCTTCTTCTGCATGCGTTCCCAGCGGGTCTGGCACTGGCGATACCTAAAGAGAGAGGTGAGTCGTTCTGTTGTCGACGGACGGAATAGCGTACGAGCGCGTCTCGACAATGCGGGCGACCGTGGTCCACTTGGTCGTGAGAGTCATGGCGTGGCGAAGTTTCTCGTCTTCTTCGAGCGTCCATGGTCCCTTTTTGTTGGAGGTGAACTCGGAATGCCACTTCTGTCGGCAGTCTTCAGCGCTGTGGCGAAGAAAGGCGAGCTGGACCTCCTTCCACGTCGTGAGCTTGGGGTTCACAAGCTTGAGTTGCGCAAGCTACGCAGCAGGGAGAAGGTGAGGCGACTGGACATGGCGCAGTACAAGCACGGACCTCGTCTTTCGTCCACTTGGTCTTGGGCTTGCTCATGGCGATCATTGTCGTAGTTGGCTTGAAATTGAAAAATGAGGTGAACAATTCGATCAAATAAGCGCCGGATATGAAGCGGTATCCGGCGAATGCACCCAGCTGGGCGCAATCCAGTCGCAGATGGTGCTTGGCAGTGGTCTAAAAGCTTGAAGTACGGAGTACAATCAATGTGTCAACTCGATCGGATGTGGCATCGGCAAACGTCTGCAGGCGTACCTCGCACTCACTAGATAGCCCTATCGTGTATAATGTACTACCTCCGATCAACAAAGATCGTAGTATAGATTTAATAATACCCAATTGCACAGCGATGCGCTCATACGTCGGATAATCCAAAGCTTTACGTACTTAATTTAATGTCAGCGAATCACTCAAACATTATGTATCAACTAGAAAGACTTGACGTCAGAAGATGTGGCAACTGCTGTGCAATTGGGTGCGTGGCCCACGACTAGGGATACTATCAATATATTTATGGATGTCTCAAGTGTAGAGTGATCTCAATTGTGGCGCTGTGCCAACGCCTGCAGGCATGCCTCGTACTCAATAGATAGTCCTTCCGCGCATAATCGACAAAGACAATCTGCCGAATTAACAATCGGATGCCACGGCCCCACAAGCCCTGCCAGGATAGGTTCCACACTACCCTGGGAGGTTTGGTGGCGAGACATCCATAAATATATTGATAGTATACCTAGTCGTGGGCCACGCACCCAATTGCACAGCAGTTGCCACATCTTCTGACGTCAAGTCTTTCTAGTTGATACATAATGTTTGAGTGATTCGCTGACATTAAATTAAGTACGTAAAGCTTTGGATTATCCGACGTATGAGCGCATCGCTGTGCAATTGGGTATTATTAAATCTATACTACGATCTTTGTTGATCGGAGGTAGTACATTATACACGATAGGGCTATCTAGTGAGTGCGAGGTACGCCTGCAGACGTTTGCCGATGCCACATCCGATCGAGTTGACACATTGATTGTACTCCGTACTTCAAGCTTTTAGACCACTGCCAAGCACCATCTGCGACTGGATTGCGCCCAGCTGGGTGCATTCGCCGGATACCGCTTCATATCCGGCGCTTATTTGATCGAATTGTTCACCTCATTTTTCAATTTCAAGCCAACTACGACAATGATCGCCATGAGCAAGCCCAAGACCAAGTGGACGAAAGACGAGGTCCGTGCTTGTACTGCGCCATGTCCAGTCGCCTCACCTTCTCCCTGCTGCGTAGCTTGCGCAACTCAAGCTTGTGAACCCCAAGCTCACGACGTGGAAGGAGGTCCAGCTCGCCTTTCTTCGCCACAGCGCTGAAGACTGCCGACAGAAGTGGCATTCCGAGTTCACCTCCAACAAAAAGGGACCATGGACACTCGAAGAAGACGAGAAACTTCGCCACGCCATGACTCTCACGACCAAGTGGACCACGGTCGCCCGCATTGTCGAGACGCGCTCGTACGCTATTCCGCCCGTCGACAACAGAACGACTCACCTCTCTCTTTAGGTATCGCCAGTGCCAGACCCGCTGGGAACGCATGCAGAAGAAGGGCCTGACGACCGCGCG